TAAAAACCCTGAAAACTATACATTTCACACCTGAGCCTCAACTCTCACGGCCTGGTACCAGTCCGAGGCCCGGGGGTTGGGGACCGCTTGATTTAAGGCACAGTTCACACACAAATCAAATGTACCTTTTTTTTTTTTCTTTTTTTTTTTTCTGGCCTTTAGTGATTGTTTTTAGAGAGATCTGTTCTTTCTGTCTAAGTATAAAACTCAACGGCACTAGCCTTTGGGTGCTTAAAGGGAGTATATTATGTTTTTCCTTATTTTTTTGTATGATGTCAGAGAGTGGATATTCCTCATATGGTGTCCCACCTATCTGCTGTTCAGACCTTGTATTTTTAAGTGGCAGCCAATCAGAAAAAAGCTGTCTTTCACAGAAGGGAAAGAGCTGCTTTTTTTTAAATATAGAGAATCATCTGTTAGGTTGAAAGCCCAGAAAACGATAAATAAGAATGATTTTGAACTGAATCTTGCAAAGCTACTTTGGCTGAGTGCAAGAATAATAATGTGCTGAGCGTTTTAGGTTTTCTTTAAGGGCTTTTTTTGACAGTATTTCATTTGCAAAAGACCACAATAATTAAGATTAAAAGTTCATGTGACTTATAAAATTATGTTATTGTTCATTCATTTCTTTTCCCAGATTTCAAAAGCTGTTCTAGTTGGTATAAATTATTTTGGCCATCATAGCTGTATAGCGAACATTTAATATTGTAACAGCTTTATCGACAATGAACCCCATAAACTGGCTGCAACTATGCACTTCTTCCCAGGCTTAAAATGCAGACCGAAATAGAAAATTCCCTTTAATTATTTGTGAAAGAGTAAAAATCTTGTCCACTCTGCAGGCTGAACTCGGGCTTTTTCAGTTGTTTTCTCAGGGACAGTAAGAACACACCATCAGGTCTATTTTGAAGTTGGGCTAGAGGTGCGAATTCTTATATAAAAGTGTTAAAAATATATTTGTTCTCTCTGCACTTTTACTGATTTCTTTGTTCTGCGTGTCCACACTAAACTTAATACATAATGTGCTCAGCCACAAGAACTTTCACAGTTTAGCTAAATCCAGTCTGCCTACTTTGTATTTCAATTTTGGTTTAAGAGAGTCGGCCGTGGTATCTCTTGGAATAAGCTTTCTGTGAGCTTTAAGTAATGTTTTCTGTGCCCTTCTAGATGAGTTCTTCTTTTTTCTCACACTCGCCCCTCTATGTTAACCCATGCAGAAACCTAAAGCCTCATCCATGGATTCGGCCACCAAGCTGACGCGATCCCTGCCATGTCAGGTGCACGTCAACCCGGGAGAAAATCTGTGAGTAGCTCATCAGACACCCTGGACGTTAGAAGTGGCGAAATGTTTTTGTTCACACCGTGACTCTGTGCGTTTGTCTCTAAACAGAAACACAGACCAGTGGCCACAGAAGCTCATTATGCAGCTAATTCCACAGCAGTTGCTGGTGAGACTGTGTGTTTATACTGTTTTCTTTTGTTTATGTGCAACAGTGACGCCTTTATGAATGATGCATATCTCGCCTGCTCTCTCCGTAGACAACCTTAGGTCACCTCTTCAGAAACTCTCGGATGGTTCAGTTTCTCTTCACGAACAAAGACGTGGAGTCGCTGAAAGGCCTGTACCGCATTATGGCCAATGGTTTTGTAAGTTTTCGAGCTCCCTCTGCCTTCCTCCGAACCTGGAATGTGTGTCCTCTGCTTGTCCCCGCTCTTGTCAATCATTCAGCATACCTCGATTTATTTCGCATGAGTGCAAATTGCGTGCAGGTTCCACCTCTACCCAGTAGATGGACTGAGCGTGAACCTGTGTTGCAGTTTTATGGTGAAGACTCTAGAGGGGGTTCTAGGCCACTCTTTCTTTTAAAGCTCAACATCATTTAAAACATTATTTGTCATCAGTTTAAACAAAAGAAAAAAGCTTTTAGTTGTGATCCTTTTCCAAAGGGGTAGCATAATGATAGGACTTTTGTTAGTGTGGTTTATTTTTAATCTGCTGGTACCTTTGAGAAATAGCGGAGGCATTAATGGCATTCGGTCCAGCTGAGCTCTGCCTCTTTGCCTAAATTTGATTTGCAGCCCAGGGAAAGAACAGTGTGAATTAATATCATTTGCATTCACTTTATAAAACTGGCATGTTTGATTGGGCAAAGGAGCTTAGGAGAAGGTTATGTCCCCGAGCCGGAGCCCATCACATAATTACAACAGCGTCCCATGTCAGGGTCTTAATCTGCCCTGTGACCCTCTGCAGGCTGGCTGCGTCCACTTCCCCCACACTACCTCGCCCTGTGAAGTGCGGGTGCTGATGCTGCTTTACTCATCCAAGAAGAGAATATTCATGGGCCTCATCCCCAACGACCAGAGTGGCTTCGTCAACGGCATCCGGCAGGTCATCACCAGCCACAAGCAGGTCCAGCAGCACAGAGCGGTGAGTGGAAGTGGAGTTTGTGGGAAGAAGGTTTCAGTGTGGTAGAAAACATGTGCAGCGGGAGACCAAAAGCAGGTGATAATGAGGAGGTATTTTAGAGATTGGACAGGGAATTGAGGTGCATTGTTTAAGGCGTTAAGTTGCATTGTTGTTGACATTTCATTTAGTGAGTCTGGTATCTTCACAGCAGCCACTCTACTACAGGCATTACCTCCTGCAACATTAGCTGACTGTTGCACTCCCACCTCATTATCGCTGCTTAACTGAAGGCAAATATAGGTGCAAAGCATAAAAGCTCTTTATGTCGAATTTGCTTCAACCACAACACAATGGCCTCTGCAGTAATCGGCGCTGCGTTTGTTTCTTTCAAAATGCTGGGATAATGCACAGTTACTGCTTTTTAATTGTTTATTTCACGTTAATGATTAATAACTGGCTAAAACATCAAATATTAAGGGTTTAATTGCCCCTAATTTAAGTGCTTCACTCAGCTCTGAGATTGTGTGTGTGTGTG